TTGTTAGTCTTTGGAGATTCATTTGATTTTATTTGTTTAGGGGATAGGTAAAGAGGGTATGTTGTCACCATAAAAGTAATATTAAATTTATAAAAGTTGCATAAACAATAAAGAAATGCAATATAAAACACTATTTCTTTCACATTGGCCAGAGAAGCCTACTCTTCCATCCTTAATTTTTGTGGAATGTTTTGTTAATATACATTACATATTGGTGACATTCCCTTGAGTAAAGAGGAGCGATTGAATTTGATGAGCAATTGTCTTGATGACAACAGAGAGGTGTATCCGTGAATGGTATAATTACACAAATGTAGTTTTTACTGAAGATTTCTCATGCTCAGGATTCCATCTTGTACTGGTACCATACTTCATGCTCCTTGTTGAAGTATATATTGATAATGGGATTTTTTTTTGTATATCTAACAAGAAATTCTGTCATTAATTTAGATCTAATAATTTGATTATTTATTGTTACTGTTATTCAAATAGAGCATAATTAAAACCAAAATATATATGTTCTTTACAATTCTGATTGTGAGGATCAAATCAATATCTGTTAATGTTATTGAAGTTATCATCATTATGTAAGTTAAAATATTAAAAATGTTACAAAGAGGCAGTAATTTTGGAGTAATTTCCTAAGAACGCCTCAAATATTTTGAATAAAATTTTAGGGATTTAGACAAGACTTATTTGAGACAGCACGAAAGGGGAAGTTTAAATGAAGGTTTTGTTTAGGCAGATTTTTTTATTTATCTGTTATTGCTGTTATTATTTCAGATGACACTAGGAGATGACATTATTCCACACAAAGGGCATTTTACTCTCCCTACAACATGGACTCCGCAGTAAGTATTTCAGTCCTGTATTTAGTTCAATGTGTTGATGTTGTTGTTTTTGTTGTTTTATTTGTATATTAAACACATGCTACCGGGGATGGCATATGTGTAGATGCCATGCCTACTGTGTGTGTAATTAGGTTGTTTTTACATGTAGATGGCTCCACAAGTACTAAATTATCAATGAGCCTGTTACAAAACTACCTGTCTCACCTGTTTACCCTTTTCCTTGATTTATGATAAAATTTTGTAGTATTTGATATTACTGGTAGTAATGTCAATAACAATATAGTAATTGTAATGTTTATAACAAAAATAACAGTGTCAATATTGATAGCATTAGTATAAAAAGTATTTTCCTGCCATTTCAAGGAAAGGAGAGGTCACAAGATTTACTGATTGACTCCTTTGTGGCTAAGCACTGGCAGAGCCATCTATATGCAAAAACATTTAACAAAACAATATTAAAATGAATGTAACATTTTCCCATTGACATTGGGTTAGGTGAAAACATCAAGATACGAGTATTATAATTCTTATAACTTAAATACCCGTTTATTTTTCTATTCCAGGGACTCCACAGCAAAACAGCGTGTGGTGGTCGTAGCTGTGTTTGGCAAGAGTGGCTTAGATTCTGGAGGATGCAAAGCCGCAGCCCTGGAGCTGATGGTGGGAAGGAAGATCTTTCAGAGGGACATGACGCATCCCATTGCTATTGATGAAGAGACAATGGTATGTGCTGCCTTTGTAGCTCTGTTGTAGATAGGTGGTGGGTTACTTTTTTCATATTTTCATAGAAAGGAATGATTTATAATTAATGGCTCTCACTGACAATCAGTCAATATATTTCATTTTCTTATCATTGTTTCTTCAACTTCTTCTTCTTCTTCTTTTTTCTTTTTCTCTTTTTCTTCTTCCTCTTCTTCCTCTTCTTCTTCTTTCTTCTTCTTTCTTCTTCTCTCTTCTTCTTTCTTCTTCTTCTTCTTCTTCTTCTTCTTTCTTCTTCTTCTTCTTTCTTCTTCTCTCTCTTCTTTCTCTTCTCTCTTCTTCTTCTTCTTCTTCTTTCTTCTCTTCTTCTTCTTCTTCTTCTTCTTCTTTTCTTCTTCTTCTTCTTCTTCTTCTTCTTCTTCTTCTTCTTCTTCTTCTTCTTCTTCTTCTTCTTCTTCTTTTTTTTTTTTAAGGGTCCATAATTCACCTATATGATACATAACAGTCATATAATATTTCTTTTTCATAAGGTGAACCATTACCATGATATATTTAACCAGAGAATCAGATCACATAAAATGGATACCAGTTATTTATATTTTCCGTCACTCACTCTTGGAGATTCTGCACAGATAATGAAACATACCTTTGTTTGTCATTTGTAACTCAGACCGGAGTGGAAGGGTACTATGATCCTGACCGTCGAGCCATATATCTTCACCTGACTGGTGCATATGACACGGCAGCTCTCATTAGCGCCTTAGAAACCATGCATCAGCAACTCCAGGAAAAGGTACTGCTCATGTTTGATTTATTTTTTAGTGAGAAGTTATATATTAAGGAATTAATATCTTGCTAGTAGGTGCAATATTCTTTCAAGATATTTGGGCTGAGTGATATCTGCAGGACTAATTTGTTGTCCACATTCTCTCAAACCCTGCCTTCAGTAT